TCCCACGTGTCTCTCTTTCTCCCTCTGTTTCGCCTCTCCATCACCCTTCCTGGCTACACGATCACCCGCTCGCCGTCAAATTATCTCACTCGCGTTTCTCGGCTGCATCCCCCCGGTTCAACATCCCCTAGCCGCAGAGCCATGCATAATCGGCTATCCGTAGATCCATGAATCCTCGACGCACGCTACCGGTCCCATACGATACGCTCTGTGAAGTAGTGATGGACGTTACAGTAGCGATACTTCGAATATCGATACTTTTCAATTTAAATATCGATATTTTATAATGACACTTAACCTATAAATATCGAAATTTCGATACAATCGCTGCATTCGTCGTAACTAACGGATCGTAAGGAAAACGCGAGCTTCCCGTAAAGTTTCCGATTGATCGATTTCTTTTTTACACTGTTACCTGAGAATCCGTTTTAGCAAATATCTGTTTAAATAAATTATTTATTTTCACTTTCACACGATATCGATGATATGGATATGATATTCCCGATATACATGTGTATCGATACTCTGGGTATCAATATTTACCGATACAATTCAAAGGTATCGCCATCACTACTATGGGGTTGCGTGTAATACCTATGAAAAACGTGTGTTTTCGTGATGATTTTATTACCGTTCCTAACCACGAGGAGACATCTCTTGGAGGAACTTGCAAAGTTCTGTTTCCATATATGTTTTACGTCCACATGGAACCTCAACTGTCAATGGTCCAATAATATCTGTTTACCTTGTAATTCTACTGAATACTCGATAGCTTTTGCGCCTGTCGAAGATCGATATCTCACGAAACTGAAAGCGATCAAATTCAAGAATGCTTGTCCATCGTAGAATTTTCTTGTTTCGCGTACAGCACGTAGAACGAAGAAGAATCGCGTGGGCATGAACTGGATGCGTTTCGCGGCATAAAAGAAAAGAAGAAAAAAAAAGAGAAAGGAAGGATGCAAACGTTATCGAGAGCCCGAGTGCTTAACGCGAGAGGTTTATTCCCGCGAGAATTCTTCGAAGATGTGCCACATTGACAAATACGCGCGCGTTCGAGACGAAGAAGCAAAGTAGCCTCGTTCGCCGTTAATGGAGAAGATATGTTTTCGAATCTAAACTTACAAACAACCCGGGTATTATGTGCGACTTCCCGAGGCATTCTGATCGAACGTCAAAATGTCACATAGATAAAGTTCGCTCCGAAGAAATTGTAATTTTCAATTTGTACTGACTACGAAAAGATAGGTTATGAAATTGCAAAGAATACTATACGGTTAAGTAGAGCTTCGAATGGAACTTTCAGTTTCGTAAGATGAACCGTACGTAAATTTTCGATCAAGATATTTCTTTGGTTTTGATGGTATTTTAGAAAGGAGCACCCGACGATAGAAAAGGCGAGAAAAAGAAAACGAAGCTTTGGCCGCGCTCGGCTACGTAGCGCGCACGCCAAGTTGACATCGGACAAAACGTGATCGAGGCCTTACTTTCGAAGTTGGCTGCACAGAGCACACTCAGTCAATCGGGGCTGCATGTGCTCTCCAGCAGTCGCTTTCCTAACGACGAGACATGCTTTTACCGAAGCGTTCATACTTGTCTGTGCGCGTGACGTGCCGTTTTCATTGACGCATTACCGAACCCACACGACTGCCGAACACATCGAACACGTACAGGCCGTTAACAACACGATGGCAAAGGCTATCCTATGCGACAGATGGTCGCAATCATTGGCTCGAAACGAAAAAAAAAGATCTCACTGAAATCGAGAAAATCCGTTCAATTCCCCGTTGAAAGACGAAGAAGAGATCGACAAAGAGAGAGAGGGAGAGTTTCGGCCATTTATTCCAGTCGGAATAAAGTTCGTTTTCGTTTCAGCGTTACGAAATCTGGAACGAAAGTTGAACGATTCGTTTAAAAAATTTACTGCGATCGGGTTATCCAATATATTTCATGTAACTTTCTCTTGAATATACACCAAAGAAACTTCCGTCTCGTTCGTTCGATACTCGGGGTCGATTTTACGAATAGAAGTAGATTGAACGTAACTACATGACGAATTGTTTCTCGCTGATATTATCGGTAGAACACGGTACATCTGAATAAATCCTTACCTTCGGACCAACGATCTTTGTTCCCGACCTCGAATTCTCACGTGATAGCGTACAATGAAGACGGTCCCCGGAAATATAAAGAACACCGTGTGTACACACGTATCAATTTTACTTTCACGCGGTCCACGCCATTTCGATCGAATCGACTGTCGTTCGAGAAACACTTCTATATCTCGATCGTGCATCTTATCTCTATTGCGACTACATTCATACGTTACGGAACTAATTCGATTTGCTGGTGGTGGCTCGGATAAGGGAGTAAACCGTCGTTAATTTTCCAGACTCCTCGTTTCTCGCCAAAACTTCCTCGCACGGTTCTACTATATTTCGACGATGCGAGCGTTATTTTCTTTTCTTTTTTGCTACTCTAGCCTCACTACTGGTCGAGCCACGAAATGTACGAGCTCCCCCTTTGTAACGGTGCGCCAAGAAACTACGTAGTTCGTACGACGTTCGTCATTTTTCATATGCATTCTCTCGCGCCTGTACAGCGAGAAACTACAAAAAAAAAAACAAAAGTTCATCGAATAAAGTGAGAAATGAGGCGGAGGAATCAAGCTGTGTACAAAAAGGAAAAGATATGTGTTTTTACCGTTTCGAAAGGAATCATTTCTTTTCCACAACGAGATAATAGCAAAGCCGTGTGTGATCATTGACACCGAACCGTCTTAAAGAGAGGACACGCGTACGCTAACTATGTAACGAGAGAAACCGGTTTTCAATTTTCCAGAATCTATACTCGGAGAATCGACGTAATTGACACACAGGAAATATACATGAAATGTATTTTTGTCGTAGGTGTTCTCGAACAATTCCATGAATTGCAATGGGGGGAAAAAATGGAATCGCAAAGCAATTTGCGTCTTGATCGGGGGCATGGTTGTACGTGTAAGATCGAGATTACAATGGAAAATTGGAGATCAAAGATCTGAATAGCGACGAGGAGAAACCTGACAATCAAATCGGCGATTGAATGAAATGCATTAGGTCAGGGCGTTAGGACTGTACGACCATAGTCTCGTGATATTTAGGAAATACACCACCGGCCAAAAGTATGGGACCAGTTCTGGAGAAAAATATCCTATAAAAATTTAATAAAAATAATACGCTAAAACTGATTGGAAATGATTTGTGCATGTACTGATTTTGTGAGTTTTATTATATCCTAACAAAATACTGAATTAATCATTCCATCAATCGTAAACTCTGATCCCATACTTTCGGTCGGTAGTGGCCGTACGTTTTCAATATTTTTTTATCGTTCTTCGATGTTCCAATTCATATTTTATCCTCCACGCCAGAAATATCCATATAAACGGTAAACCGAGAAAGAAATGTATGCTGATTCGTTCGAAGAAGCGTCGATAGATTTTAATGTGCTCGGCCACACCTTCGTTAGATTCTTCTACACACTTGCTGCACTTTCTCCGTTCATTTGTTTTCCAAAAACGTACGTCCGTGCTCGATGACACACTTTTTACCGAAGACCCATTTCACTGGAACGGTAATGTTCGCGAAATTGTTTTGACGAGAATTTATTTAATTATGGGACCGCGGGTACGTACTCTGTAAACCGAGGACTTTTCCATTTGCATTAGGCAAATCGTTTTACAACTGACAACATTACATTTCGTCCCGGTTCACGTGTAACGATCGTGCGTGCTAATTGCTACGACAAGCAATTAATGCTCGTTCGCGAATTCACCAAGGACAATTAAACCTCGAAGATCGTGAATTCATCTCGGGACTCGCCTGGGAGCCTCCTTTCACCGAATTTGACGAGTGTAATCATATATTCGGCAAAGACGATCTTGTAACGGTGATCGAAGGTCAACTAATTCACTATAATCTCGATCGGTGCCGCGAGCATAGCATCCGTCCGATTTCACGGAATCTATCCGGACATTTGAATATAGAAACCTAACGCAACAATCTTCAAAATTGAAGAAAACTGTTGGAAAAGGAATTGTAGCAAGGATGAGACAACTCACACCTTTTCAATACTTGCACGATTTATTGATAGATCAGTATAATATTGTTATGTTTGTAGAAACGAACCTGCGTATCATCTGTATATTTTCGAAAATAATTTATATTATCATAGGATACCGCGAATGCGGTTTACTTTCAGTCAATCAGTGCTAAAAGAATCTATTATTTACAATTTTAGAGCACAGCTCACCTTAAAAAAATATTATGGGCTAAAATAGTTTTCATCGGTAAGTACATGATCACCTCGATTTAAAGTACGGTCGACGTTATGAGAAAAATGATTCTCTTCATTTGTTTCTTTTTCCCATTCACAACCACAAATCAATGGACGTATGAAAACACATAAAACTCATAGATATAATCACTAATTCTCAGCACTTCTCTGAAATACCGAGCTAAACAAAAATTACTCCAAAATTAATTTAGGAGTAACAAAATGGACGTGCCCTTAATTAACGATATAAAACATGATCACTAATTGTGCGTGGGTAATAATCTTCAGTTCCTATTGGTCGTCAGAAAATAACGGAAGTAATAATACATTAAACCTTGCGCTTCTAGGCCTATCTTTTAACATTAATCCTATCTCGTTACATGTCTTTCTATGGTACAATGAAACCCACGACATGCATGACATTAATATGTATGATGTTATATCACACAATCTACAATACCGATTTACGAACACAGAAATAATTAGGACAAAGAAATTCAGAACTACTTCAAGATACAATTAGAATAATTTAAATACGAGTGTACAATTAGTGGAGGAAAAGACAAAATTTAACTGAAAGATAGTCATTTTAGAGATTGTTACAACTGGACAATATTCTCAAATTTCCTTCCATCATCAACAGTCTTGTGTACACTGGTTTCTACTCCAGACATTATACAATTACGCTATAAACTAGATGCTTCCACATCCGGTATGTTGAAAAGTCCAGCATTTCTCCAATAGTAATGTGGAGGGCCAAAAGTGAAACAGTATTTCATAGATAACGGTTCGTCATTTTCCACGTAATACATTAGGTAAAAATTACACATTTCATCTGACTTGGTTGCGCCTATATATGTCCAGCTGTCCCGTGTACTTTGCATGGTACAACGAGCCGCAATTTGGTCTCCTAGTCCAGCAGAAACCTTATTGTGTATAGGATAAAACATTTGAGGAGTCAATGGATCCCTTTTACCAAGTTCTGTCCACGTATAATCTGATTTTACTAGATATCCAGAAACTACTTTTCCAAGTGAATGTGTATGTGTTCTATACGCAATAGGATGAATAGTTTTATTTTCTTTTATCATGCAGGCTGTTTCCATATATGTTGTGCTTCTAGGGGCTATTTCACCAGAGCTTCCCAACAACAGAACACCAGCAAGTTTATTGAGTGGACGCAACGTGTAATAAAGAAACACTCCTGAATCATCTGTTCTACCATCTTTAAACACATCAATATGGGCATAATGAACCTGTAGAACTAAGTACTTAATTGGGGAGTCTCCACCAACCTTGAAACCCACTCCCTCTGGTAAAATTAATTTTGGTGCGTCTCTAGCCCAAGCATACAATATCTGTATCAAATATTACATTAATAGTAACAGATATTATTAAAATGTTACAAGTAGTTCCTATTTTTTTATGCAGCATTTATATACCTGGGACTCCTCTGCACAAGGAACCATTGTTTCTTCATTCTCATTCATACGATGACCCATTTCCCCACAATCCCATATGGGCTTGGAATTCCCTGGCTTGCCACAACCATATAAAAGTATATGATGAGCAGTTGCCATTGTTGCATTCGGTTCGAAACCTATCACATAATAACTTTGGGAAGGATCTACCTTAACCGGTGTACATAAATATAGTTCTTCCTGTAAATTACATAAAACATATAACATTTTAGGTATTTTATATTCACGTGGTATAACAAAAATAATATTAAAAGTAACAAAACTATTAATAATAGCAGCAGTTGTAGGTTACGAATAAATACATTTCGAGAAATGGCACAGAAATTGTAAAAGAACATGAATCACTTAATACATATTGTTTACTATTTACCCTGTTTGGCCTAACATTTGGCATAAGTAATGCATACTTTTCCACGCTGTTACACTCCGTAAAGCTCAATAGCATCGCGAATAAAGCACACGCCACGAACATATATTTCCAATTCATTTCTTTATTAATTTTCACGAACATTTCGTGAGTATCCACGAAAATTCACATGAAACTGTCAAATGTTACGGGTCGATATCCTATACTCCCACGTACAACAAACTCTGACGTAGTGATAAGACTGTGGCGACATCATATTGTTTACACCACTAGGTGGCTACAAATCGCAATTAATTAACACCATAGATGAAATACTCCCACAACCAAACCTCGCATCCGCTAGGGGAAAAAGTGGCGTAAGAGGAGGGCCTTCTACCTGCTTCTACCACTTGGTAAATTTAAATTAAAAGTAAATTTACTTCAACTACCGAAATAAATATTAAAGCCAATGTTAATTTGGCATACATTTCAGTAACTCCCGAGATCAAGTGATAGGAGGTCTTTCCCCTACACCACATTTTCTTCCAGCGGAAACCGTATTTGCACATCAGTGTACAAAATTTTAAGATATAATCACAAAAAAATGGATAATCGTCACAATCAATCTGGAACAACGAAATTCATAAAAACATGACATACGTTTATTGGACGGATTTATTACATATTAGATCATATAACTATATTGCACGGTTCATTCATACGTCGTTATCAAATGTGAAAGTAGAATTACAATAAATGCTATGCAGTTGAAAAATATACATTACAAGTACATAATATCCAAATATAAAAATATTTGAATGCAGTGTCGAAAAGAGAAATTGTAACCGACTGCTCCTACTTGTTATTCGTAACAGATCGTTTTCACAATCAGTTAAAAGCATCATCCTTATCTTTTATTGATATATGTATCACGAATTTGATCTGTTAGCCACTCTATACCCGGTTGTAAACCTTCTCCGGTAATTGCATTTGTCGCTCGTATATGCCAGGGTTTATTTTGTATACGGTCAAGACCAAGACCAGCAACAAGTTTAACGGTAGTCAAAGAATCAGGCAAATCCATTTTATTTGCCAAAAAAAGTATCGGTATTTTGCGACCTACAACGATTAGTATACTACATTTTATTCTTTAAAATGTTTCTTCAACTTAATATTAAAAAACAAGCCTATGAAAGTTTTATACCTGCTATGTCTGGATGTTGAAGAAGCATATCTAATTCTTCTTTGACCACAACCAATCGTAACTTGTCGCTGCTATCAATTATAAAAATAATACCATGACAATCCTTGTAATAATGTTCCCACAAAGCTCTATGGCGGTCATGACCTGACATATCGAATGCCGTGAAATTGACATTTTTAACTGAAAAACAATTATTTGAATATCATTATAATTACAAAATTTTAAATGAAATAAAGTAACCTAAAATTACACTTTATAAAGCGCCATCTTTTTCATTCATATCCTTTGATTTTCTTTTAAACGAATAAATGAGAATCACTGTACGTGTAAGAGATATCTTGGCGGGATATTATTTCAAAATTGGGTTAATTAATTTTCAATGGAATAATTGTTACATTTAACCATGGAAACAAACAATGAAAGCAATAATGTTCGTAACTCTGAGAAACGTTTAGATAAACGTAAAGGTAAATAAAATGTCATTTAAAAATTTAACCCTACTGTTTTAATAAAAGTAAATAATAACATTGTCCATTATCCAATATTAGAACTGGTACACGAGAAGGAAAAATTAAAACAACAAATACAACGGTTGAAGGCTGTAACTTTGCAAATGGAGTACAATTTAGATCTTTCCACATTTAAGAAAGTTAAAACTGCCTCTGATCTAAACATGTCTAATGTTACTACTGATAGAGACATCTCAGAAGTTCCAGATGTTAATGTGGAATTGGAATCCCAATTGTTTAGATATGCCGGTTTTCAATGCATTCAATTTTCCCATCAAGAATTCATATTTAACTTTTCTGCACTGAATAGATACAACAAAGAAAATATTTATGCTATCCAAATACTAAACAAGGAAACTGAATGGTGCTTAGGAAAATGGATAATGCCCATGTCTGTTGACTTAGATAACTTAGCACCTCAGTTTTCTAAAGGTTTAAAAGGTGTACCTCCTTTTGTGAAAACTTGTAAACAATATATTGATTGTTATACTGTTCGGCATGATCAATTCAACACTTTGAAGGTATATATTTATTTCTAATGCTTTTATTATACAAGCAATGAAGTCAACCTCATAAATTTCAAATTTTCAGGAAGCTGTATCTCATATAAACAATTGTACCTTGCAAACAAATGATGGACATAGTCTTATTATTTTAGACGTAATAGGAGTGCATAACATAGAGACTGATTCAGACATAAATATAATTATATATCTTCATTATAATATTGATGAAGTCAGACCATGCAAAATTATAGTTGACTCACAACATGAGAATAAATTAAATAAAAAAGTAACAAAGCAGTTAGAACATTCTTTGAAGTGTTTCAAGATGTTTGATTTATGTACAGCATTTGAAGATATGTTAAACGATAGTTTCTTTACATGGGCACAGGTTGCTGATGAGGATAGTCCATTAAATATCAATGTATGTCGAATCCTTGGTTCATTAATCTTAAAAAACTTCCTGTTATTAAAAAAACTGATTTTTCTTTTTAGAATTTAAGCAACTCTGATGAAGAAGGATTTTTAGAGGACTTTACATTTCAAGAGAAAAGTTTGTCATCGAGTAGAAAGAGGAGAAAGAAAAGAAAGACACCAAAACAACGTGGGACGCATGGTTCAAATATTTCAAAACGGATCAGGAAAGATGAAGAATCTACTTCATTTCAAAATAAAGAGGGAACTAGTTTTAGTCAACATTCTGTAAAGCTAAAAAAGAAATTGAAACAGACAAAATTGAAATTTCGATTATATAATAGATCAAGTTCATACACAACTAGCAACACAGAACAGCTTAAGGATGTCACTCCTGAAAATGCCATAGCTAATAGAAAAGTTGATCAGGTAATTACTAGTACTCCATTGCATCAAAATCAAAATCGCTCCATGGGTGTTACAAAAAACAATGTGGATGACATCAGTGATATTGTCAATGAGGAAAGTTTACAAAGGCCATAAAGAGAAGGTAACATTGGGTCTATTAAAGAAAATGAAGTCATACATAAAGAACAATCCAGTAAGAATTTACCTGAAAAAATGCTGTAAAGTCAATGAAAACAAATTTAAGATCATTTAATAAATCAAAATGAAAGAGTCAAAAGAAGAAATCACCTACTAAAAAACTGAAGAAGACCCAATGAAGATACAAAATATAAATATCTGACAAAGTCTTAAACAAAATATAATGCGCCTGTTCTTTTATATGCCATCTGTACATATCTCTTTTATATAAATAAATGTATTTGCAGCTCAGTATACCAGGTTCATTTCATAATAAGTGGTGCTTAAACTGATCAATACAATAGTGCATGTGCGAGTAACAATATTGTTGTAAACACGGTAATTGAACATCAAACAACGTCGTTCTCTTGTCATTCGTTAACTTACATGAAAATTTTTCAACATTATACCCGACAGTGGGCACTATGTTTATGCAACGGTCATCCTCGCGTTTGAAATTATTTATGACCGTCGACTTACCACTGTTATTAAGGCCCACTACTAACACGTTTACTTCTTTTTTCCTAAGACCTAAAAGATTCGCTAAACGGTCAAAGAGCCCCATTCTTTATGCTATCTTGGAGTATTGTTACGTGTTTATCGAACATCAATAGCGAAAGCTGTTAGCATTGATTGCCTGAAAGCAAGAAAAGGATAGACCTCATAATGAACAGAAAATTGTCCCATCGCCCTAAAGACTAGGCTTATCTCATAAAGTATTATTAATAAAAATCACAGATATTTTAGAATTTCAATATTTTACATATATGCTCCTCGAAATTTCAATTGCTAACTTCAATACCCCGCAATTATAATTTACGTGCACGAATTCTATTTACTTTCTACAGGGTTGAGAGACACTGACGAAACACATGCTTTTGTATTTCGAGACTATTTTTATTGAAACATGAATGTAAAAATCAGTTTGTGAACAGTTTGAAATTAGTTGTTTTTGTATTAACTTGTTTTGTCAGTTTCGTGCGTTAAATTAGAATTATCAAGAAAATGGTAAATGATAACTGTTGGAACATTAAAATTTATTATATTAGGTTACTTATTGTATTATATACAACATTTAAAATTGTTTTCAGCCAAAGGGTACAACGAAGAAATTCATTGATAAAAAGAACTCAGTAACATTTCATTTGGTTCATCGATCACAAAAAGACCCGTTGATTGCCGATGAAAATGCACCTCAACGAGTTCTCGTGCCTGTAGGAGACCCACAGGCCGCTAAATCAGAGAAAAAAGGGGTGGACGACAACAAACGCAAGGAAGAACAACAGAAATATGGCATATATTTCGACGATGACTATGATTATTTGCAGCACCTTAAAGATGTCAATTCATTGCCAACTGAATGGGAACGTGTGGACTATGAAAATACATCAAGGAAAAATGATAAGAGCGATAAAAAGGATGCTCCAAAAATTAATTTACCTTCTTCTGTATTTGCCTCAAATGTAGAAGAAAAAATTGGACTTCTCAACAAAACAGCACCTGTTTCTGGATTACAGTTAAATTTGGATCCAGATATAGTTGCAGCAATGGATGATGATTTTAATTACAGTGATCCAGAAAATGAGTTGGAAGACAATTTTATAGAATTAGCTAATGCTGAAAGCAATGACAATGAATTTGTAAATGAAGAAGAATATGGTATGTAAAAATGTATTATTCATATGTAATAATATGTGTTCTGACTGTGATTTAAATTGATTAGAGCAATCATCTGATGTTTCGTCAGAAGGACAGATGGAATTATCTGACGAAGAACAAGATGAAGTATGCAGTTTAAATGGTGCTCAGTACACTTTTAGGGAAGAGGAAACAAAATCACGTTTTACAGAATATTCTATGAGCAGCAGTGTTATAAGAAGAAACAAACAGTTGACTTTTTTGGATGATAAATTTGAGAAAGTTAGTATTTGACATTAGATACTTTTTTTTTATTTCATTGATATCTATTATTCATTGTTATGTTAATAGATGTATGCAGCATATGACGAAAATGAAATTGGTGCCTTAGATTGTGATGAAATTGAAGGGCATGTAGCACCAGATTCAGATTTACTTCTTCAGTGTGCAGCAGAGTTTGAAAAACATAAGAATGAAGATGTAAGTACTATGAATTTATACCTGAAGAAAATGGAAGATTATTAAATTACTAATTTCGACAGGCTGAAAATGTAGCAAAACTTATGGAAGATAGAATGAAAATTCTAGAAAAAGAATACTCTAGTTCTGAAGATGAAAATAATTTAGATGATCTTGTTGTTGATGCAAGACAGAGGGAAAAATGGGATTGTCAAAGTATTATTAGTACATACAGTAACATTTACAATCATCCAAAATTAATTTCCGAACCCAAGGTATATAATTCAAAAGTAATTTTCATGCTGCCTTGTTTATGATGGTATAATAAATCTGTTTGCAGCAACCAGAAAAAATTAAAGTCAATCCAAGAACAGGCATTCCAAAAAATGTATTGAATGATACCCCTGGAAGACTTACTGCTAAAACTTTGGCTCAATTTGATCAACAAAATGAAAATTGTAAATTGAACGGACCTCAATCTACTGCAGAAACTATGAAGTCAACATTGAGCATATTAAGCATAAGACCTAAGGGAGAAACTTCAGAGGAAAGAAAAGAACGGAAAAAGGCTCTGAAGGAGTACAGAAAAGTAATATTTGTTCATTAATTTTTAATACCAGTGGCACAAGTCACTAGTAAAATTGTTAATTATCTATTCTAGGAACGAAGGGTGGAACGAAAAGCAAATACTGAAGCATTTAAGGAAGAAAAGATGCGACAAGAAAAAATTTTGTTAAATAACAAACGAAACGTGCAAGGAAATCATATATTTTAATGTGTAAAATCCTTTATATCCTATTCCCTCGAGTAAATTGAATAATTTATATTCGTTATTCTATATTGATTGTGTTATCAGAACATATACTAAATACATTTAAGTTTTTAAATAGTTGCATTGTCTAAATAATTACGAAAAAGCTTACGTTTTCGTACAACATTATTATTCATTTAGATGAACACTATAATTAATTATAATTATAGGTATTACTATAATTAGCATGCCTAAGTTTTCAGTTCATTTAGAATTACTGTATTTTGACATCTACATAACAAGTTGTACTCTAAATACACGAGTTTCAGCATTTAACCCATTTAACTATAGTTCGAAAATCAAAATAACAGTGGCATGGAGAGCGATTTGACATGTGATAAAAAGAAAGGAACATGGAATGTGTAATAAATATTTTAAGTTTTGGCATTGTAAACAATGAAAAATAAGTACATTTCCTTTCAGCACTGAATATCGTCTAATATACTTTTTAGTAAGTAAATACATCGGTAGTGTATTCACTATTAACAGTAATTTTTTGGGTACTGGTTGGTGCTCCTTTCGAGTGAGACGCACGTGAGAAAACTAGGAAAAGCGCCATCACTTAAGGCGGGGCAAACAGCGGAAACTCCAAAGTCATATGATCGATTTGTGATTCTTTCGTTCGGAATACGGTTCTGTTCGTTCGTTCGTTGCAAAGATGGCCAGCCAGACGCAAGGTATTCAACAGCTTCTGACAGCCGAAAAAAGAGCTGCGGAGAAAGTCTCAGAAGCCAGAAAACGTAAGTTTTTTTTTTCTAATTATTGGAGTTTATATTTTAACGATGATATATTTTGTGCATAGCACATTGCGATGAACTTTTGTATGACCCTGAGTGTAGTTTAACTGGGTGTAACCTTCCAAATCCATTGAGAAATGATATTTGAAGAAACATGAGTTAAGATAATATTTTTCGCTTGAGATGCTTAAGGTATTTCATTTCATTATTTCGCGTGTGACTGTAGAAATGCAACCACGTCACACAAGTATATTGTTAAACAAATCTCTCTGATAAAATACAATCTTTATTAATATAATATTTTTTGGAAAATTCACATTTACATGTAACTTTGTGAAATTTGTTATAAGAAAGTTACAATTCTGATGCTTTTTTTTTAGGTAAAGCACGCCGATTGAAGCAAGCTAAGGAGGAAGCTCAAGATGAAATTGAAAAATATAGGCAAGAGAGAGAGAGGCAATTTCGTGAATTTGAAGCCAAAGTAAGTGGTTTCCTTGTAAATAGTTTTCTCAAGATAACAATCATGTAAAATATTTGTCAAATCATTCTTCGAACCTTTGAACATTTGTTTCTCATTTTAATGTTTAGCACATGGGTTCAAAAGAAGATGTTGCTGCACGTATAGAAGCTGATACAAAAGTGAAAATAGAAGAAATGAATCAAGCTGTAACTGTGCACAAGAACACTGTGAGTTGTTATTAAATTTGGACTCTTAAAATAAGAATATTCTCCATTTGGTATATACACTACATTATTCTTTATGTTAATTAGGTCATGCTTAAAATCTTGGACTTGGTGTACAACATTAAACCAGAGTTGCACAAGAACTACCGCATCGAAATGTAAATCGGAAGAAATGCATCTGCGCATATAAATATCACCTTTTATGCTATAAATGTACATTCAGTACTTTTCTTTACCATATCTTAAAACGTATCTATTGCCGTTATGTTGTACTTTTATCAGAGGAAGCGTATATACCTTTTAATTGTAGATGGTGGTACTCAAATTACTAGAATTTTTTCCGCAGTTGCTACACGACAATAAATGTAATCGTAATTACGCTGAGCTTCTACCATCATGTTGGAAAGTTTAAGGTTTATAGTAGATGCATCGCGATAGTAGTATCAATGTATTAAAGAAATTGTCGTCATTGTGATATATCAAGGCCTAGATATATTAGGATGACGTATAAATGTTAAAACTTAAGGTGGTGGCAAGAAAAATTGTACATCGTTAAATGTATGTTGCTAGATGTCATTCCATAGTTCTGCAGCATCGAGGACACAAATTGTGATTAAAGAATCCCGTACAACCTTTCGAGAATCACGGACAAGCTCCCACTCTAACGTGATTCCCGCGACGATGTACAAATACACCGTTTGTTTTGTTTGAAATTTTTAAGCGTTGTTAAGTTATACATACAAAGTAATACCTATACCTCATGTGTATACCCTGTCTCTGCGAGCTGGTTAATCTGTACAGTATTAATGTTCAACAATAAAAATAGGTAAAATCCACTGGAGTTTTAACATATACCTCCACTAAGAGAGCATATTTCAATATATTCGCGTTTCGTATGCAAACGAAAATGAGTTCAACAGTTACGAAATCTGCATCGGCTGTTACGTAAAAGGTTTTGGACCGTTAAATGTTTACGGTAACATTCGAATCGGTGCCAGCTGATTCCGTAGAATAGTTGAAGGATACATTATCGAGTAACAGCACAATATACCGCAAAAGAAATTGAACCAAAAGAAGAATAGTATTTTAAATTTACTTACGAGGTCTGGAATTACTTCGTAAAGCTCGTGAATTTTAATATTAGCCAACATTTTAATTTGCAAGTTTAAGTTCGCCCTCGTTCTTCAGCGCAAACGCGAAACCAGTGAAACTTCCAAGTGCAATGTAATTGGCTATTTCCATTAATGTTCGTTCCGATTGGTCGGTGATCTAAACGTAGGAGAAAATATTCTAAAATGGAGGGGGAATCAGCTGTGTAAACCTAGCTTTTCCTTGGCCGACTGATCGTGGTCACGAACGGCGGCTCGTTGAGTTGCGCGTAGTGCGTATATGTGTGATGTGCGTTCACACAACACTAGCGCCACTCTATAGAGACCGAAAGGTGGATTCGATTTCGCGAACTAATCCTGGCAGCGCGGAGGCGGTCAGTACGTGTGCCATTCTGCACCGAGAAATGGAAGCCGACGAGACGCGTTCGGGTAGTAGGAGCGCGAGCACGTTGCCGATCTACGAAGTTGTGTGTGAGGACGCAGTGACAGCTGTGCACGAGTACGCGTTTTAAATCTGTTATGATCAAGAACGTACCGGGTAATACCGGTCGCCGACCAGCTGCGAACCCGGAGAAAAAGAGATCGTCGTAGATAACGCGTGTCGAAAGTTCTGTGTGAACGGTGTATTTTTGGTTTTTTGGTTTTCTTGTTTCTTCGAAGACACGTTAGAAGATCTTGCGGAGCAGTAGAGTGTGCGTTCTTGGAACCTCCTTGGATACGATCCTTCGCAAGATGTGGTGTCTCGTCAGCCAAGCGAATTCCGTCATCCTTGAGGTGCAAGTCGACCCCAAAGCCATTGGTCAAGAGTGCCTTGAAAAGGTGAGTCAGTTTATTATTACACTCTTGTTATCGTTGGGATTTAATGAAAGGACAGGTCACCTGCTGCTTTTAAATCGTGTCTCTGTCGTTTCTGCGTTGATACTTGTATCGTTCGTGTCGAAATGTTTTCTTTTCCTTTGTAATTTGTTAGTTCTTTCTCTGTGCCATCGGTTTTCTAGCAATTTTTCGACACAGACAGATTTAAAAAAAAAGCTAGAATACGCAAATGTACAGGATGAAACGTGAACAAAACAGTCAAATAAGAATCTACCAATGACATTCTTCTTATTTGGTTTGATACCTTTGTAACTTGTATTCTTTAACGTATTTCGTTGAAACGCGAAATAAGGAGAGAAAGAGAGAGTGAAACAACAACACCGAGGTAGATGTATCGAAGGTCGCCATTGTCCCAACGTTGCGTGGATCGGTTTCCATGTAAACAATAACAAAAGCGATCGTTTATCGCGGCTGTATTGTGTTTTCTGATATTGAAATGTGTACAAGTGTGTCGGCTTGATATCACTGATACAATTTCAATAAGGCACACGCGGGCACAGAACGTGGCACGTCGAAATTGGTGGTAGGTCGCGGTATTCGCGGAGCTTGTTTTCTCGCGAAACAAAGTCGTGTTACGGTGTGAACGGTGCTTTACGGACAGATCGCAACTCACGTGCGCAACAGATGCCCGAAAACATTCGGTTTGTACAGTATGTGTAGCGAGTACAATTTGAAATTTGAGGTCGTTGTCGATAGGCAAGGTGTTGGGATTCGTTGCGATCACCGTTTAAATTTCTCACCGTGTTTACGATACAACTTCGATCCGTACAAAGTGCACGGAAATCACCTGACACAGTAAAATAATTCGTTTGTTTATACTTTTATACCATGAGAAGTTCACGACGGTGTGGACTGTTTTCATCGTTGTTCGCCTCCGTCGCGTTAACCGTTTTCTATTGAGAACCGACACGACTCGCGGTCGTCGTCGCGTGTGCTTTGACGGAAGACGTTCCGTGTCAAAATGAATACATTAAACAAAATTAATTACATAATTAAATTATATTTAATTTACCCCCGACCTGGGATGACCTCACCGGCAACGTCGGTGGTCATTCTTACCAGTACACCGACGTCTCCCGTTCTTCTTCGGGGGTTTAACTCTATTTATAGATGCGAAATGCATCGATGCGCGCGTGTAGCGGTGTGGCAGCTCGCCCTATACATAAGGTACATGTTCATACACGGTATATATATGTGGATACAGGCCTTTACTCACGTTCGCTTGTTCGGCGGACTCGTTCGGTCACGGTGTGTATACCGCGGGCGTACAAAGCCTCGGATTATCGTTCGTACGCATATTAAAAATATACCCGTGTGTGTGCTAGCGTAAAATGATACTTCGAAACGCAAGTGTATTTTAACGTCGTTTGTTTACCATTCCACAGGTATCCCGTTGATATTTGTTCAACTTTCCGAACGATTCACGGGATCCAAGCATTATTTGCGTTACGATATTAGGAGACAAGGGGTCTTACGACATAATCTTTTCGAATTGAAGATCCCTTGTTCGCTCGACGTTTCGTAACCACATCGGTCAGACTTCTATCTAGTTAGATTTAGAAAAGTTCTAGTAACGTAGAAGAAACACGATTTTCGGTAGTTTCAGATCGCTGTATAGTGGATTGTCGATGTTAAATGTCGAGGAGATATGAATAAATTTTTAGAATTTCTCATTTTCGATTCCAATGATTCGTCATTAATCGCATCAGAATGTCTCTCTGTAACCAAGGATGCACGTTCGATACATGTATTAGGCAAACCAAGCAAGCCGATGTCTCGTGTAAACGAAACCGTGGATATAAGGCTGGCCTTCCAGTGCCGTGTTTACCTGTAATATCAATCCGAGCGAGGCACTCGACGATGATTACGGTGCCACCAAGTGGGTCAAAGCCTAACTGGGTCGCAATTTCACTGAGCACCGTATTATTAGATGCTTGAAGTGCGCCCACTGCGACAATATCCCCCTGACAGGGGGATTCTAGTTTGACTCGCGTGGTGGTCTACTACGGATTCACACGCATACTTCTATCACAGAAATTGATTTCTATTATGTATTTATGGAACAATCAACAAAAAAGCTTATTAGATATGAAGTTTAAACCTCCCTTTATAATCAAATTTAAATAAGAGTATTTTTAAAAATATTTTAACTTAATAATAGTTAATTTAATATGAAGTATAAACTTTATCTGTTTCTTATTAGATGCATCGAGAGTTTTTATTGAATGTTGACTTTGCTTGTTGCATCATCGCCGGAAACATCGATATCATTAACGACATCCTGTTTGTCCGAGTTGTCGGTCTTATTTTTTCCCCCGGAATGATTCTACGTGAAAAAAATATTTCGTGAAGGCGTCGAGAAGATAAAAAAAAAGAATTAGGTCGAAAGTGGTGGGAGTTCGATTCTGAAAATTCAATTTGCGTCGCCTTTGTGCCGCGAAGTCGATCGTATCAACGCGCGTGGCAGACGTTTTCAAGATCTAATTTGCGTTTAGTAGCACCTCTTTCATGTCGCGTTTCCTTTCCGTCACGTGCACTCCAGTGGTCTTTTCTCCAGCGATTAGCCACGTGTCTCGTAACTGATTTCGTTTAATAATTACACAGGAAAAATCATCGTGGTCTGGGACTCCCGCAATTTCGTTCTGATCTCAGTATTTGGAAAGTAATTTAAAACACGCAAGAATCACGGGGCTCATAAGAACGGCTATTTCACCTTGCTCCACAGTTTAGCCCAAAAGTGTACAAGTTTTGGGAACTCTGGGTTTAATCGTTTCATTCAACTTTTAGTTGGTTTAAGCCGAAGCGATAAAGTTTCCGGACGATAGAACCAAGTTTCCTCCCCGGAGTGTTTGAATCTCGATGTATCAAGTACTTTCCAAGTTCATCCTTTTTTTTCTCTTATCCTTTTCTTTTCTTTCCTCGACGGTTTACAGAGATCTTGCCCCCGTTCTTAGCGTCCAACAGACAAAATTACTACTGTAAAATAATTAAATTCCAATTCAGGCCAGTTTCGATGGTGTGTGTACAACCGATCCGATTTCACCTGACAGGAAAATCCTGTTTATTTTATGGGGTTAGGTGGAGGACGACACGGCGCAAAATTACATTCGGTCGTTGTAACGGGGGGGTAATGGATGGTGTAGAAGCTTTGGATCGTTCGAGGGACCATAGTAGAATATATGAACCCACCCCTGGAAAGTTGAAACAATTCACGTCAGATCCATAATGCAGCCTCGTGTCCAAGTTAAGTCCTCGGTTTTGCCCGCGTCTTGTTTAATTTGTGTTCGGGCTGCTGGCGAAATCGGTCGACTGTTTCGGAAACCGAACAGATTTCTCGCAAAATTACGTAATCGTTAAAGACACGGGAATAAATATTGTTTAATTAGAAAATGCAATATTGTGTTCGTAGGGGAGTAAAACAGTCGCGTGAGATATCAGAATAAACAGTCTTCATCGAACGGAAGCGAATTTATCGTAATATCTTCGTAATATCTTTTAACCAAGGCAAACACACCAATGAATGAACACTGAAAAGCTTTTGCAACTATTAAAGTCGCATTTTAAATAGATATTTGGCGCATGAAAATTAAATTTTTTAACATCTGTACCTTTTTATAACGCATAGATTGCAGGTAGAAAAAATTGGGAAAATGTAATCAATTAAATTAAATAGAAGATATGAAAATTTCACCAGTGAATGAAGAATATTATTTATTTGTATACATATAATGTTCATTTACTGGCGGATTCACCCTATAGAGTTTGACGTAACAGCGAAAAAGTTGGAATTTGTGATATTCTCTTTCACTTTGTCATTGATACGCCGCATATTCCCCCTTTCCGCTTCATTACGACGGAGAATCGAAGAAAGAGCCCGGGATAACCAGCCGGAGCACTGCTTTGGAGTTTAATTAGGTGTACGAATGGCACCCGGGGTCTTCTTTTACGGTCGTGGGAATGTTCATTTAACTTGAACCATTTCCGAATTTCTCGCGAAGCCACGCGGATGGCATATATACGTTGGAAAGACGCCGATCCTCCCAGCCACCAGTCGGTCGCAGGAATCTCATTACGTCACTTAATTGCGTTCCACAAGAATCCTTTTCCCTCTGTCGACGCTGAATGCACCTTCAGCCCTTTTATTCTTTTGGAATCGCGTCCGTTTCCCGTCGACGTGTTCCCTTTGGGCTGAATCGCAAGAAATTCTATTTTCACCACCGCACCGTTCCTTCGACGGTTTACGGTAGAATGATTCTCACGCCGAAGATCGATCCTTCTTCTGTTCCCACCATACCCCGTTTAATATCATTCGACGACTTATACACAGGGTGGACCACGAAACGTGATCATCTTAGATTATTCTACCGCTGGCTGTTCGATCGAATTTTGTTTTTTTTTTTTTGCTAATATCACAAGATGAGTGTACCAAATTGTGTGTCGACCACTGATCTGTATATGTATATGGATACGGGATGGGGTATATGGAGATAGTGCAGTCGCGGACGAGTTCTCGTCGGGCGTGGAACGTCGTCAGGTGTGGCGACGTCGCCGACGGGAACCCGTGTGTCTAATTAATAGGATTAATTAAGAAGTTCGCGCCATGCTTTCAGCAAGTACTAATTTTCTTTTCCTTTTCGTCTCGTTGCATAAATTACCACATTTATACAATTATAAATTGCAACAGACACATGCAGACAGAGAGAAAGGAAGAGAGACACCGAAAGAGTTAGGGCCAGTCGTTAATTGGATTGGTATAGAGATGGTTGGAGGATTGAAAAGGAGAATCGTATAACGTCGCAGGACGGAATATGGCAGAAAGTATTAAATAAACGACCGCCTTGGAGTGTACGTCTCTGGTGGCTGGGTTAGGAAAGTAATCGACGCCGGGGAAAAAGAGAAAAATGACTCGAAGGAACGGAGTGGGAGGCCGAAGACCGCGTTGG